CTGCATCTGCAAAGAATAATGAGGATTAGAGTCTTGTCCAGTGGTCTGGAAGGCTCATTTGCATTCCCTGGTCTGGTGATTCCCCTTTTTTCCATGTTGTGAAAAGACCCTCTCCCCAATGTTTTTCTGTCCCTAAGACAAGAGAGCTAAAAAGCTTTCGTTGATGGGGGAAAGTGGAAGATCATGTTCATGACACCTGCTTTGTATGTAATTCCTACACATCATACACTTCTGCCACAATTATTACTTAATTCATTCCTCTCCAGAAAAATACACCAGTCATTTCATGGTCGCCCTGTTTATCATCCCCAGCTGTGGGAGCCGGTACCGGCCAGGTGCAAGGACTATAGCTGGCTATTCATTTCTCTGAAATGAACCAGCTGTTCCCTTCAGCATGCACTAAGTCTGGGTCCTGCTGGTGACAACCCTGTTATGGCTGCTGCTGCAACTTTAATTTTATTTTAAGAGCTAATCCAGACTGATCGTTCTGAGAACATGCCTAAGTATAGCGAGGGGTAAGTACATTTTACAGAAAGACATATTCCAGGCTTTAAATCTGTTGTAGAATAGCTTATAGGTCTGTGTGAGCTTTTAGATTTTTCCCCCAGATTCATGGGAGATGTTGATTGGTACAGTTAGATAATGTCAGGTAGGGAATTGCTCACCTACTATTGATGTCCACTGAACTCTGTGTTCCAGCATATGGGTCAAATCGTGACCTAAGTCACCAGAGATAGCAGTCACAAGTCCAGTGCCTGACAAAAAACATGTGTGGATGACAAAGAAGAGCCTGAAGTATATTTCAGCCCCATGAAGATCCCAGAGCCAGCAGAGAGTCCATTCCCTTGGGTCTGCTTGTGACCAAAGGACTTGGTCTGTATTATGCAGCTGAGAGGTCTTAGGACAACGCTGCTTCTGTCTTTTTACTACATGGACTCCCAAATGTAAGGAAAGGGGAGGGAAGAGGATGCTGCTGACAAAGAGTTCATAATGAACTGATGGCATAGGAAAGAAGAGAAAAGTTGCCTGTTAAATGTCACAAGGCCTCAGGAGTCTGGACTGAGGATCCAGGTCCCAGTCATTTGCTCTCAGAAGCATGAAATCCATCATTTCCCATTTAAAAAGCAAATAAGACTATCTGGGTTTTCATGGAAATTCTGGATCTGGTTTCAAGTTTGATTGTTCACCAAAACATTAATTGTGAGGTTTTTAAAAATTGCTTTGAACAAGACATGTTGTAAGAAAGGAAGAGATGTAACTTGCAGCTGTATGAAAACAATGCAAAAAAAAGAGAAACTCAGAAAATATTTTCTTAGCCTTGATGATGTCATTCACAGATCTATTTCAACTAATTGTTTTTAAATTAATAATTTTCTACTAATTCTTTTACTTTCAATACTTTTTCATTATTAAGAAATGGAGACAAAACCTACTCATAGCTATGGCTGTTACATTTAACTTAAATCAATGGGATTTTCCTCCCTCTCTTTCTCAGCTCATTTATATTATCCATCAAAATTCCCCATTGAAGAATGTACTTTCTGCTTCTGAGATTTCTGCTCACTTCCCCCCAGCTGAGAGAAGGAATTTGCCAGTACTTTGACCTTTCACTCTGTACTAATCCAACTTGAGTCAGTAGATGCCAAAGGGAGCTTAGTTTTTTCATATTTTCCCAGTTTTATCTGCCAATAGTGTATCATTCTTTGCACAGACTCAGGTCTGCAGAATAGTCCATTTTGTTTTAAAGGCCAACAAAACAAGACAAATGGGATGCTGTAAATACAGTACTAAACCCCATGAATAAATGAAACTGCAAGCTTTGAGAGAGGTCACTCAGAAATAGCTTCAATTCCAATAGACTCTGTATTAGTGACTCAAAACTGTGTACATAGCCAATGAAACTTTCAGTTCATGCTGAGATACAGGGATAGGGACTGCTGCCTATTTTTTGTGAATATTGACTTTTCTTCCAGGAGATCTGCCTTCTCTTCCTAGCAATTCCACACACTTATGGTATGATATTGAGCAAATCATTCTCTCTAGTTTAAAATCTCATGTTCATTAGAATGATGGGATCATGATATGGCTGTCCCTTGTAAAATGCCTTGAAATCCATGGATAAAAGCAAGCTTTACACTGAAAAATTATTGGCATTATGCATTTACAAAGCAACTTCTAAGAACCTCATAGTGCTATCCTGAAATGATACAAAAAATGCATACAGTTTTTCAGGAGTGTTCTAGTTAGATGAAGCTGTCTGAAAAGGCCATAATCCCAGCTCAAGGACAATATCTTTGTTTTCTATTTTCATTTTCAGCTTTGGCCCATATCATGTCAAACTCAGAAATCATTAATATTTCCCGCAAATGACAAGTTCCCAGGGGAAAAAAAATAATCAGAAATACCAAGGATCACTTCCAAGACAAAGTACATTCCCAAGCGAATCCTGCATTATAGACAATGTGGTGCCTCAGGCAGGGGGTAAGGAGAAATAGAAAATTAATCTTGCAGGATGCCTGAAGAGAACCAGGCATACTTTGTGTATTTTAGCGTTTCTCTACTTTTTGCGTTTTAACCTTAATGCTTAGCCAAAATTCAAGGTTCTGTAGTAATTTTCTGTTAGGAAGAGTAATGATAAGAGAGGTGGGTGTCTTTGACACAGCTCCAGTTGTTTACAATGCACAAGACTTTGCTTCCTTGAACAAGGCAGAAACCAGCAAGCTGGAGACAGCTGCTCAGAAGGGGGTCTGGCATGGCCAACTGTCAGTGCTCCGAACAGCAAGATCCCAGGAGATATTCCCAGCACCATCTTCCCTGTGCTTATGCACACCCTAACATATGCTTGGCTTTACCTACTCCCTCTTGGGTCCTCCTGGGCTGCTTGTATGGAGTCACAATCCAGGCAGTGGGTATTGCAACCTGAGGTCTCTCAAAGTCCCCACTGCTGGCTGCAGCATCAAATTAACAGGGGCCTCAGATAATTTCAATGAAAAGTTAAAAAAAAGCTTTCAGGGCAATCTGAAAACTCAGAAAGGAGAAGATAAGAGAACACCCAATGTACTTGCTTCACCACAGAAAAATACCCTTGATGTGAGGGCACTTATTAGTCTGGGTCCGGCTGCTGCTATGAACATCTGAGATCTGTGATTTTCAGGAGCAGACTCCATTAGGTAACAACTCAATACACTTCTGCCACAAGTAATAGTTGGGATGATGTGGGCAGAATGGGGATGGGTAAAGGTGATAAAGTACACAAAGGTGGTACAGAAATGCCAACAGCATCTCTACTTGGCACAGCCGTTGCTGCCAGACTTAACCTCAGTGCCATTCCTGTCACAGATTGAAAGCTCTCTTCTTGCTGTACGAAGTCTTTTTCAACTCTCAAAATAAAAGTGGGTTGAGTATCACAGAGCTTCACACCAGGAAAAATGCATGAACTCAGTGTAAATTATAATAACGAACTTGTAGTATATATGTAATTTCTAGCAGAGAAAAATCTTCTATGAGCCAGGAAGAAGAAAAAAAATTGAGGTCTTTTTCATTATCTAATTTACCATCATTCCTTGATATCTCCAAGTAGGACTGGGGGCTCTGGAGTAGATCATTAAAGCTCTTTCCCTCTTTTCTGTACTATAGACCTCTGCATTACAGAAAAGAGAAGCTGGCATTGGAACCTGTAGCAATGCCACAAGCTCTAGCAATTCTAGTGAATCCATAGAGAATTTATGGAGTATAGCCCCAGGCGCATGATGAAAAGGGCAGAGAGAGTGAAGGTGATATTCAGTCTTTGGAAACACTGAGAAGAGGTGAAGTTTCTTGGAAGAGATGACCTTTTTTTTTTTTTCTCTAATCAGAAAGAGTAGGCTGTCAGTTATTGAGTTTAAATTTAGATTGCAGTGTTGTTCACTTCTCTGTTACAAAACTCAGATAGATTTAATATCCAGACCTGCAAATCCTTTACAGTGAAACAGGAAAAAAAATGAAGTCACAGAACTAAGACCAGTTAATGGAAGCGTATGCGTGAATGGCCTGTGCGGTGTTCCCATTAACTGCTGTGCTGATTTATATTGTTGTCATCACAATCTTTTTGCGTTATGTCTCATTATACTCAAAGAATATTGTTACAATTAGATTGAAATTTGTCTTCATGGGAGGCATTGTCCTGACTGAAGGATAAGGGTGATATTTCTGGGCAATCTATAATGCAATTGGCCACCTATGACTGCCAGCTCACATACACTGGATCTTCATCACCACACACAGGGCCAGCCCAGAAGCTGGGGAATGGTTAACGCCCACACCTGCACTAAACCTTCAGGTGGAAGGCAAACAATCAGCTTCGTGTGGGACTGAGGAAGGGAAAATCCAGGCACCTCCCTCCCTGGTTCAGGAGGAGTTGAAAGCAGCTACTCCTGCTGGGATTCATGCTAGTGCTGGGCAGAACAGCCTGAAGGTGGCCTGCCCGGGGGATGATGTGTGCACACATTGCAACTAATTGCACTCTGTACATCAGACTGCAAAAACCAAGACAAATTAATCATCATTTCACCTTGTCAAGTAAGTAAATACTGAAACCCTTACCTTACATACAGGAAAAACAAGCCACAGAAAGAGCTGGGGCCAGTGCCAGGACTGGGAAACAGCTATCCAAACTTTCTAGTATGCTATCCTGCCCCCCCTCAGGCAACACAACTGCTCTCTTTCAGAGTCAGACTCAAGTTAGCTCCTCTGGAGCAGAGGAAGGTGGCAGTCAACCTGTCATGGTATCCAGCATGCTCCTTCTTTATGAGGAGCACATAGAACTTCTTAACTTTTGGCTTCTTGTAACTTGTTCTTTCTTTGTTGAGATGAATTGAGGTCTTTAAGGAGCCCTATACAGTATTTCTAGAGGATTCTGGTTGCTGCTATAGTAGCAAAATAGCAGGCACAACAAATAACAGTGACAAGCTTTGAAGAACAGCTAATGTTTCACTTTCATTTAATTTTCAACATTTCTTATGTGTGCATACAAATACAGAAAGATTCTCCTTAAAAAATAAAACCAACAGCCTGGACTTTCCTTAAACTCAGAGGCATAACAGTAAGTGCTTCACAGGTCCCATAGCTGACTGTTCCTTTTGAAGGCAAACCAATACAAATTTCTTGCTCCTGTAGTTATGGCTCAGTTCATCTTACAGACTCTGCTTGTAGGACCATGAGATTGATATAAGCATGCAGGTATGGTTCAGTTTGCAGACCTTTCGCTACAGGACAAAGAAAGAAAATGTAATAAATAAGTAAATAAATTTAAAAAACACAACATCAAACTTAGCAGAGAAAATAATATGCTTGGCCAAACCTGGTGCTCTGGGAGAGCTGACATCTGATTTATCCTACTAACACATCAGTAATTCTCTGTGCTATAAAAGAACTATGTGGTTCAGCTTGTTTGCTCTCAGGGTTTTTGCTGAAATCCCCTAGTCACATACTCAGGAAGGAATCCTTTTATCAAAGAACCTTTGCACTTTGCACCACAAGTATTGTCCATGGCTGCTATTGCCCTTCATTATAGCCTTGAAGGGGACTGACTGAGCGCTGTGGCAGCAATGTGCTGACACCAGAATTTGGTTCCAGTTTGATGAGATAAGGCAAACACACAGATTTTGGCACTTACATTCAGGAGGGCTAATAACAAAGGTTAGGTCTCTGTGGACATTACCAGGTCAGTGACAAAATTCTAGTTATCCAAAATACCAGCAGGGACTTCAGCTGTATGGGGAAACAAAAGTGCAGAGCAAAAGGAACATGAGGAAGAGAAAAGAATTTGAACCAGCTGAAGCAGTTCATCTCCAGACAAAACCAGCATGAGTGAAGGTAGTATTTATGTGCATAAGGGTAGAGGGGACAGATTTTGTGCTTGCAACTTGTTAGGGAAGGCAGTAAGCCCTGGCCTTTTCTTTCCAGAAAGTAGGATAGACTGTTCTGCATTAAAAACCCCAAAAAAACAAGCAAACAAACAAACAAAAAAAACCACAAAAAAACCCACAAACCAGGAGAATTCCCACACTGGACTGTTCTTACTCCACCTGTGCAAATACTTTTGTATCCACTGGCAACTAATCTGGAAGGCCCATCTGCTTCCAACCAACACATAAGCACCCACTGATCCCACCTCACATGCTGTTACTCTAAGTCCCCTCATTTTACCAGATCATAGAAAGGGAAGAGGAGGAAGAAATCCAACAGATTTACTCTAATCCTTGAATGCAGCTTTCGATCTTCTTTGTATGGTCTCAGAGCCACCCTCTTGTCTATATAAACAATGCCCCACGCTGAACAGGAGGTTCTGTAGAGTCTATGGAGAAGATAAAGGACAGAAGAAACAGTAGTGAGAAACAGTATGTAGTTTAGGAAAGCATAATATAAGTTTGCATTTTATGCCAAAAAAATCCCACCAGTTTTCTTGGCTTGTTTTACAAGAACTTGCTGAAGTTTAAGAGGCAGAGAGTAATTTTACTGACTCTGACACGTTTAGCTGACTAACAGAGCAAAAAAACTTGGGAAATACCTTTCACGTTCAAAGGTACAAAATAATACATCTTGTGGTTTGTATCAGCCTGGTTTTCTACATGCCTAGGATTTAAATACAAATCTCTGCCAAACACAGGGAGTTTTTAAGGGTGTTAAATTGCCTAGCTCTTTTTACAGTGTGCAAAGTGATTTGAAATCATTGGGGAACATTAATGTTTTGTGGAGAGAGTTCCAGGTTGGAAGACTGCAGTTTGCAGCACTAAGACTTATAAATCATTTCAGCTGTGGTGGAATGTGATGATTTGAAGCCATTGGGTTTGGAAATGGAAAAAAGACATGATCTTGAAAGATTCAAACTGCTTTGAATATGTTAAGCCCAATCTTACAGCTCTGATTGAAACATATTCCACAAACATCAAAGTACAAGCTGTAAGATCAAATACTTTCTGCTGGAAAACTTCCAATATAACTTACCCTTTGTAGCTCTGCATATATTTAGAAACACTGGGCCTAATCATACAGCAGTTTACACTTGATGTAATCACCTGCTGTTGTGCAAACTGAGCACAAACACCTTTTCTAATCTAGTAATAATTGTACATCATTTTGCCATCATTGTGAAAAGGCACAATGAACAAATGCTCTCTTCTGCAAGGAGAAAGAAGCTGGAGATAAAATTTTCTTGCTTCCATGAGATTGTCTTGCTATAATAAGCAGAAATAAGATAGAAAGATGAAGGACACTCACAAAATTGTGGAAGTTACATAAAATGAAAGTGAAAAAAGACTGGAAGAACACCAGCTTCATTCCTACGGGCAACATCAGCTGGAGAGTAGGAAAATACTATCATCCTCTAACCTTGCTCATAGGCATTCTTGAGGACCAAAGGGAAAACACAGCTTTCATTCAGTTTCTATATTATTTATGCAAGACTTCCACTGTCTGAGACCTAGTACTGTGCTAATAGGAAATGTTAAGAAAGGAAATCTCTAAAAAAAGGATTTAGGAACAAACAGCTGTCAATTGGTGATGCTCAGTAAGATGTAATTAGTGACATGGGATCAAATGGCATGTGTTTAAACATTACACTTGCTTCTAAAAGCCATTGTGTATCCACAAAAAAAGAATTAAACACATTTCTAAGTTTACCAAATTTCTAAGCATGCCAAAATCATTCTTCTGAAAAAGTTTCCCTGCCTTTTGCCATGACTTAGATCAGCAGTAAGAATGATATGAGAGAGCAAACTGAACTTCTGTGTGCAGGTTGTGAGGAGTTACATATTTAGCTTGATTAGTCTTTGCTATTGCAAAAGATATCTGACCTTTTCTGGAGGAGCTCAGTGCTACCTCTGCCTCATAGCAAGCCCTTGCAAGTCTGGAGGGGAGAGTGGTGACAAGTTTGCTGCCTGCCTTCCATGGAGTTCCATTCAAGCTCGGATGACAAACAGGATTTTTTAGGTTGCTGCAGTCCTTCTGCCATCTGCATTTGCCCCACCAATATCCTGCCAGAATAACAGAGCATGAGCCCTTTGTGAAGAGGGAGGATAGAGTATGCTACCAAGAACAACTCCTACAGGGATCCAGAGTGAGACCCTGCTTATCCATCTTCGTCATGGAAGACTCATATGTAAAAATGCTTATCAACATGGAGATAATGCTTATCAATAAGTATATATGTTCATCATACAGCATTTATATAATATGTTCTAGACTGAGTTTAAACATTCTAGAATTATAAATTACACCTTTCATGGCACCTTAATTTGGATCCTAGTGTATGTACAATGAAAGATAACCTTTAATTAAATGTTATTCCTTTTATTTTCTCACAGGGATCTTGTCATATAGTGAGAACAGCAATAAGAAAAAGAAGCAAGATTGGGAATTAATGAGGATCCTTGCTTCATTTGCTCCACCATGTAGGAAATGAAACTTCTGCAAAAAGGAAAGGCAAGAGACTACAGGAGAGAGCATGTCTTTTGGAATAAAGCAAGTGAACATTACAAAACGAAACTCAGTCATGTCTCTGCCACTGCTACACACTTCCTCCCTGATTGTAACCACAGCTCCCACAGTCTGCTCCCTGGACAGTGAATCGGCAGTTCAGACACAACAGAGCAGAAAAGAAAATGTGTGGGTCAGTATAACATGGGCCAACATTAGAGTGTCTGGCAGCTCTGGAAATCAGAAAAGACCAACGCTTTGTAAGAAGTGGAAGGCACAGAAACAGAACATGACACCCAGTAGGATTAAGTACCTGTTAATATCCTATGTGATACAATACAGTTCTTACTTATTAGAAAATGTGTATTTGGCAAAATTCCCCTTGGGACAGTTTTTAAGGTAAAGTCCACTCCAATACATGACATACCCAAGTTCCCACAAAGACAAGTTACTCTATTTGAAAACAACAGAAAGTACTTCCCCAATTTTATTTCCCATTTTCTCTGGTACATTAAATGACTTCGTTTCAGAAGTGAGCCAAGGAGTAGCGTTAAGGAATCAACTAAGTTCACCTGCGTTGTGACTGCTGTGCATCAGGGAATCAGTCATCCACTCCACAGCTAACCTGAGCAGTCTTGGGCCTGTGCTGTGCCATGCTGCACATCCAGCATGGCCTTCAGCCTGTGCTGTACCCCACACATAACTGCACAAATTCAAAGTACAATACTTACATTGGAGAGTTTCCACCAAAAAGCCCTGGTGCTACCTGGAAAGCCACAGGGATGGGCTCTGTGATCAGATGCCTTTATGAGAGATTTTTCTGGGATTTATGGGCTAAGAATTCAAAAGGCTATTTTGTCTGCCCATTATGCAAAGATGGAGATGTTTCGCAGTATAACAAGTAGGGTTATGCTGCTTGGGCATACCCTAGAGCCACAAAGTAAAACAAAAAATATAGATACCTGTAAAATGGACTGCTGGTGTTACAGAGACACAAACTCACACTTTTCCTTCTCCAACAGGCTCAGAGATATCACTCTGTTGGATAGTCACCCCAAAAGGCACATCTCAGAGGCAGAAGGTGAACGCCTCATGCCCACCCCTCACCCTATGGGCCTCCTATGAGGAGGAGCTACGTGGCTGTACCCACAGTAGAGACAACAGTGTCCCCGGAGCAGAGCCCCTCCTCACAATCATGGGCAGGACTGGGCTGAGCACCCAGCAGAACATCAGGTTTACTCAGGAGTTTTATTCTGGACTTGTCCCCCAGGATTGCTGCCTTCCAGCAACCAGGAGACCAGGTCACTCAGCAGCCTTCACATCTCTACTACCCCAGTGAACCTTTAAACCTGAAACATAATGCTAATGGGTGAAGACAGTAATATAAACCTCTCTCATGAGACAAATGTGTCTAGAGTATGATTGTATGTCCAAGCTGTGGCCTTGGTATCGTCTAGTTAATGGTATGGTATCCCTAACTACTGTAGTTATGAAGCCACAGGATCATGATGTTATGCCTGAATGGCCTGATGTGTACTACCTGTGCTGAGGATGGAAACATGCATAAGTACTGAACGCAGTGATAAGACTCATGATTTTCATGACTGCCCTCTTGCTTCTATAGCCACAGCCTAATACATGGCTTGATCTCATGTGAACCATCCCATTGATTTATAGATGTTTGCAAAAATAAAGATTCTACGAAATACAAAAGCATTCTTAGAAATCTGGTGTAAAAATATTTATTTCTTTCATGGCCTCGCCTTAATCATACAATGCTCTCAGATTTTAGATTTAATGAAAACATTGTCCTTGTACTGCAGACAGTACAAGGCTTGGAAATATGACCCATTCACAGCCAGAAAATAAGGAAAGCAAAGAAAAAGCACCTCAAGCCTTCTTTAAAAAAGAACTTTCCAAAATCTAATTTTTGCATCAGCCTCTTGATATTTTTGCAGCCTGACTCATAAAATGCTGAGTGTATGTGGGAGAAGTGGAGTGGGAGTGAAGGGATGGCACTGCCATTTTAAAAATTATAAATAGATAAAGTGCCAACTGTCTGCATACTCTCAAGACATCACTAGCTGGCCAAGATCATTGCCATCATCTGTAACTAATAATGCAAAGATTATTAGTTTTGTTTCTTACATTTACAGGAGAGTAAATGAGATTTACATGAGACTTGACAGTAACACAGCTTGCAAGGTATGGCTCAAGTTAGGAGTTTTCTAGACAGTTTCAGTGATGTTTCTTTTTTTGTTTAAAATAGAGATTATCAACATAGCAATTTAAAATATGTGCTTGCATGATGACTAGCAGTCTGGATTGCCATAAAGCAAAAATTTCCAGTATCATTTAGTTTGCACTGTTTATACCGTTTACTCCCTCTTGCTTCTGCTGACATGGATTGGTTTTGTTTCCTTTTCTGCAGAAGTGTTTCACCCCTGGCTGTCACCCACCACAACATCCTGCTGGTGCGCAGGCTGCAGATTGCAGAGGGGAAGGTTTCACTTTTACATCGAAGTGCAAACCCTGCTGTCTTTGGCTGCTTTAAAAATGTAAGGGAAGCACATTGCATACAGGCCTAAACTTAGTAATGGCAGTGGGACTGCAGTATTGCCATTTTTTAACCCTTCCGTTTCTGGGCCACATATTGTTATACTTCTAAGACAAGATGTGTTCAGTAATGTCAACAAAGCTGTCAAGACCCTTACTAGGGTGCACACCTCTGAATGGGGTTCCAAGCATGATTGGGAGCTATTTTTCTCACTATACAAGGTGTTTGAGAGGAAACCAAGCTGATGTGTGCTTCAAACTTAAAGGTGCCTTCCAACTAGAAATATTCTGTGATTCTATAAACTGCCAAAAGTGTTTATAGAGAAGAGAACAATTCTGAGAAGTCCCATTATGACACTTCCCCACTATCAGGCCAGCTGGCTGGGCTTGCTTAAATGTAACACAATACAAATGTAAGCACACAGAGCGGCATTGTATTCCACACCACAAAGATGCAGGTTAGGGAATCCCACTCTTGGCTCTGAGCAAACCATTCAGCCTTGATGTTGCTTGACACAAAAGTGCAAACCAGCTTCCCAAGGAGTCTGAGGCACAGTTTTTTATGTAGTGATTTCTCCTCACCTGCTGACATGTTTTTTGGCACACCATGTGCCATGCAGGGGCCTGGCAGCAACCTGCGCCCACCTGCTGCTGATGCTCCCATTCTCTTCAAGCCAGAACCATTCGCCAAGATCATAAAAAGTCTCTTAGTGGATGCTTAAGGAGAAAATCAGACATTTTTGTATAAAGCTGAGGACTACTCAGTGTCCCTGCTTCCCAGCACAAGATCCTGGTGGACTTAAGACGTGTGTGCTGATCCCTATGGACAGAATACTGGGGGGTGGGGAGGGAGCGTTCTGCTTTCCTACAGATCAGTTAATTTTTTACTTTGTAAACTGTCTATTAAGCTTATGTAAAAGACCCAAACTGTTCCCTTCAGTGCATTTATTATGTACCAGAGTAAAGGACAAGGACAAAAGTACCGATTAGTACTCTCCAATACACGCAGGCAGGATCCTAGTCAAGACTGTTGATGTTACAGGTGATGTTAAGAAACAGTGATCTACCTTTGCTCTAAGAGCCAGCACCTATATCAATTTAGATCTCCTAAGGATTTGATTTTCAAGGAAAGATCTCTTCAGCATTTTGATCTGAAATGGCATTCTCAAAAAAATCAAGAGCAGGTTGAAGAACTGCTCCAGTCCAATGATTTCCAGGAATCTGTATGGTCAAAATTTCCAGGTACTTCTGTTTTAAAAATAAGTTGAATGGGTTAGTTGAGGATAAGTGCTTGACAGTGTTTCTAGAAAGCAGTGTTTCTAGGATCTAGTTACATAAACTGCCCTAATGTGAAATTATTCCAATAAAGTTTTCCTGAGGGTGGCAGTTCAGTTTAGTTCTGCCATTCTGTGTACAGCTTTAGCCAGAAATGCACTGTAGATGCACATTTAAGCAGCTGAAGCTAGTCTGCTGGCAGGTATTTTGAATAATGCACCAGACGCAGCATTATCTTGTGGTGTAGCCTAGATGTCATTGCAGATTATGCTTATCTCTGCCAGACCACCTGGGCGACTCGGTGAGGTTAAATAGCAGTCTGGTAACCTAGAGAGGGAGCAGCACGACCTACAAACACTCTCCAAAGTCTTGTCAAATCAAATCCAGATGAAATGTCCTTTCAGAGAAATGCTTAGAGTTATACCTGAGCATTTTCTAGTACAGCATTTTCACAAATACAGCAGCATTATGTCCATCATCTTGCTCCTTTTTGGAGCTTATTCCTGCACAACCACTGTAAGCTGAGTGACACTAAGAGTTTTGCTGCCACCTTGCCATGCTTAAAGCTGTTCTCCAGAGAGAAAAATTGTATGGACCATGTAATTGTATATGCATAATATGTGTATGGATTGGTATAACAGGTATTTAAAACCTATTTTTTTTCTGAGTGGGGAAACACTCAGTAAAATGACAATTATGTTTGCATGGGAATATAGTGATCTGCATTTTCTGGTCTTTGCTAAGTCTGCTAAGTGCCACAGAATATCATGTTAGAATAATTAATATCTATATCTTGCAGAATTAGGTCTTTTGTGAAGCTTTGGTAATAGAAGATGTATTACTGCCAGGTCTTTATGAGTGAAGAGGCCTTGCTCTGTCTCTGCAGCTAATGTTCTAAAAAGCTTCCTTTATAAACTTGTATTTTGGAGCACAGTATGATTTTCTTGGATATCTGTTTTCAGTTT